GTTTCTTTCACCCCTCTCGGCTGGATATATCTGTTTCCGAGCATCGTCGGTGGGACTGGCCGGGGCGAGAGCGGGTGGAGAACTAGCAGTGGACACAACAGGTCTCCCTTCTTCTCGCCTTCAAAGCGATACCAGCGCCTTGCTCTTGGGATTATAAATGTTTGAACTAAGACCCAAGAAACTGGAAGGAGAGCCTCCTGTTGGAATTAACAGAAGAGAAAAGAAGGAGGGCTTTTCCAAATCCTTTACGAGGAAGTTTGTGCCGTTTTCCCATGCTGTCCGTACTGTGTTTAATAATGCGATTGTGACCTGAGTGGAATTTATGAGCGATGAACTATTGAAGCTTGTTGCACCACTGCATCAGACTACAATTTTTTTTTTCCTCTCTCAGCACATGATTCCCCTATTCCAGCTGTTGCAGGACCTATTGGCCAGTAATAGAGGGATGGGAAGCTGAGGCAGTTTATTTTCAGATTCTTCTGTTCTGGGGACTTGGCTAGTTAGCTGAAGCTGCTGCTGCTTTTTACTGGATCTGCTCTTTACTCGGCAGGTTTATTTGTTTTCATGTACACGGGGTGTTTCAATTAAATAGACATTGGACTAGAGCTGAATGGATGCTTTGCAAACCAAAAAGTTTTTGGGGCTAACAAAAAAGTACTAAGAACAGAGAAGAACTGGTACTGCAGGAAACCTGGGGCCTGTTTTCCAACCCTTATTTTTTTCAGCAAGGTAAATAATGTAGTGGTGCTGAAAATACAGGGCTTATGGTAATCATGCATGAAAATGTTACAAAGCACTTCAGGCTGCTCCGAGTCTTTCAAGGGATTGAGAGGACCTGCACTAAGGCTCAGAATAAGTTTAATTGTTCTTTAACGTGTTCAGATATGAATGTGAAATATAAGGCTGAGAATAAACTTTGTGGTACCTGAGAGGTTGAAAGAACTATTTTTTCAGATTTGCCTTTGGTTCTTGTAGGTTTGTGATGTTGAGAGAGGCTGTCTGAAGAACTTTAGAAGTCTTAGTGGTTCAGTGAGAGTGTACAGTAATTGTATTAGTGGGTTTTTTCCATGCTTTTTAAAAGCTTGATGCCTTAGTCTCTTGTGAGGAACTGTTTAGGGTCTCTTAAAAGTCGTTCTAGTTTAACAGTAGTACAGTACTTACATTTAATTCTTAACTGTATTCATACTCTGCCTTTAAGTATTTTTGCTTACCTTTTGTTATCCACGGTGAGAGCTGCTACCATTTCATAATTAATTTTTTGCTTTTTATCTTCCTTTACATGTGTATCTCCTGAATTAGGCTATTTGGATTTACCACTAATGTACATGCATCACTTCTACCATAGACTTTCTACAACCAGCCTAAGCTCAAACTACCTTTTTAGATACTATCTTTGTATGTTTCAGGTGTTGGAAGAAGCAGATAATGATTCTCAAAATATGCAGTGTAATCAGTTACTAGTTTAAGTGTATAATTTTTGGTGGCATGCTGCATGCCTTATCTTTGTTTTTTTAAAGATCTCGGCAGCAGTTTTACTCCTAACAAAAATATAAATCCATTAAAATGAGATCACAGTTTGAAACGTAGCTGTAAAAAATCTGGTTTTGCAAGAAGTCACAAGATTCTCATTATGAAGTGATGCCTTGATTAAATTGATTGTATACCTCTTCTCGCGCAGTCTTAATGAAATAGTGGCAAACACTAAGGTGTTGGCAACCTTTGCTGATGCTATCATTGGGGGAACTAAGTTGGTATTATGGGTAGTATCCAAAGTTCCTTTGCTTATCCTGTTTAGATTTGTTTGATTTAAATTTATGGTCTTTGTTTTGTCTTATTTTGTTTCAAGATGATGTGTGAGGTGATGCCAACCATCAGTGAGGCAGAGATTCCCTCTGGGGGAAATGGAGGCCATGGTTCAGGTTCCCCGTTACAGTCAGATGCTGATTCCCATTTTGAGCAATTAATGGTATCCATGTTGGAAGAAAGGGATCGCCTTCTGGAAACACTAAGAGAAACTCAGGAGACGCTAGCATTGACCCAGGGCAAGCTACATGAAGTTGGTCATGAGAGAGATTCCTTGCAGAGACAGCTCAATACTGCACTTCCACAGGTATGGACATTTTGAAAGGAAGGTATCTTTTGATAATTTTTGTATTCTTTGTGGTATTTTGTTGGCTTTTTGTATATTTAATTTACTGAAGAGTCAGGTTATGTTAGGGGAAGATGTATCCAGCTTAGTACTTTCCTGAAGAGTCTGTAGGTGCTTGCTCACTTTTGAGAAAGGTAAAAGGGCAAGTGGGGATCATCATCCCTTTCCCTCCAGTATGCTTTCCCAGTTTCTGGTGTTTCTTTGGCTTAGCCTGAGTGTGAAGTCATACCTACGTAATTTTGTTTAATAGAACTTGATGGACTTTCTTCTGTCTCTAGTATTTTTTTTAATGTTGTTTCTAATTGCCTTATTCACGTGCTTAAGATTTACTTACAGGCCATTCTGATACCATTGTGGACTTCAGTTTAAAAACTTGAAAAGTTTTAAGACTGCACCCTTGTGAATACGTGCTGAGTTGTCATGGTATTGTAGAAGTCCAAGTGTGTTGTTTAACTCAGTTCCTTTTGGAGAGTTTGGATTTTTTTTTCTTTTTTGGTCTTGCTAGGAGTTAGTAATTACTGATTTATGGAGGATGCAGTGTAACAACATACAGCCTGTAGTGCTAAATGTGTTACATAAGGCAGTAGTGTGTAGTTAGGAAAGGTGATTGGTGTCTTGGTTTTTATCCATTCTAGTTAAAAAGAATACAATTGAACTTTGAACACTTTGAAAAGCATTTGGTTGTAGGCAAAGCAGAGGCTGCTTTTGGGTGTCAGTTAACTGTTTATAGCCTTGCACTTTCTAGCATGGTTGGTTGTTGTCCCAAGTATGTCATGCTGATGTTATACTTGCATATGTTATTCCATAAATACTTAATATTTTTACAAATGTTTACGTATCCTTAAATATTGTAGTTACTGTTTATACCCTTTAAAACAGTAGTCTTAAACTGTTCTGTTTCCACTGCTGTCATTACAATGTTATCACTGTATGACTCTTGGTATGGTAATTGGTACTGGCAATTACTCAGGGATAGAAACTAAAAAGTAATACATGTTAATCTAGTTGCGTTACAATGGCATGAATGGAAATCAGAAAGGAGAAGTTTCCAACCTTTGCTGCTCCCTGTCTTAAATCATGTGCTGCAGGCAAAAATCATTCTTTGTGTTTTTTTTTTTTTTGTTGTAATAATTGTGGCTTCTCTTTAGCTGCTATTTCAGATCTGCTACATTAATGGATGCCATTAACCAATCGTATGATCTGTAAACTGTTATGCTTGGATTTGTGGCTGAGTAGAATCACCCAAGCTCTAAACTGTACTGTTACTCTTTTCCTTTTTCAGTTCTCAGCTTTCCTAAATCTAGTAAGCTACTTACATGTAAACATTTCTTTCTAAACATTTCTAAAAGATTAATGCAGTTGAAACAATTCCCACTTTCAGGAATGTCATAATTGTGTGGTTTCATGTGAAATCTGTAGGAAAGCAAGTCTCATAGTTGAATTGAGAGAGAAATTTTACTGCAATTTTATATAAACATACAGCAGTATATGGATTTTTTGTATATTGTTGTAGCTGTTGAAAAATACTGTTGTCATGATATGAAACTGTGCCACTTTTGTCCTTAGTGGTGCTTAAGCTCAAATGATTGTGGAAGGTGACAATTGATGCTTTCAAAAGTCAAAAATATTTCATGATGCTTGCTACAATCAGAAATAACTTCTGTATTTGACAAGTTTTTGGTGGTGGTATGGTAAAGAGTCGTTACTTCATAGGTGTAAATTTCTGATGAGGTGAAACAATGTTTGGGTTTTTAAAAATTCCAATAAGTGTTCATGAGGAAAACTGGTGACTGTAATATTTGAAAGTATTCAAACTTTTTGGTTAATTATTTCAAGCTGAGTATTCTTTTGAACTACTGTCTCAAATGACCCATTGTTTAGCTGTGGATTTCAAGGAGGGGTAGAAGCAGGATAACTTTAAATTTGCTGACAACTATGTTATATTTTTTTCAGGAAAGAAGGAGGCTAGTGTACATTTAAAATTTTTTTTAATCAATTTATCATAGTAGTTGTTTTCAATTTAGTAGAAAGAGATGTGAAGATCAATTTAACTAGTTTTGTACAAATACTAGTATAATTGCATAATACTAGATCACTATAACCAATGTAATATTTCTTCCACAGACTTGGTATGTAGCTTGTAACATGTCTTTGTAGTTGATCTTGGAGTACTTTATCTTAAGGAGTATTGACTTGAATTGTTTGTATGTACACTTTTCCTGTTCTATGTATTCAGCTGAATCAGCCAGTTAGACCATTCTGATGACTGATGGAAACTCCTTGTATAAAAGGAATGCCAGATTGATTGCTTCTATACTAAAACTTCTCTGTTTTTAGTATGAAGACACTAAATTTCTAATGGCATCCCAGTACTTAACTCCTTACATTGACTGAGTTTCTGTGTATAAGGAAGAGGCTTATACTGCTGTGTATATAGTTACAAAATAGATACTTGTGTGTATTTGCACATCTTGTAAATTACAAAAGTAGAATCATAGAATTCTATGTAAATTCTAAAAGTAAAGGCAATTTATTCTGCAACAGTGATGCACATTTTCTGAAATGTCAGAGAAGTAGACTTTTCTAGTCTACTTGTAGTGTAGTGGGCAGCTAGTAATTTAAAGGCATCAGTTCTAGCTCACATAAACCTGAAACAGCTATTCAGAGTAAGACGACTTTTGTTGTGGATGTCTAATTCACAGAGAGAATAGCATTCTAATAGATGTGTTTTATCTTTTACATTTACACAGAGTAAAACTGGCAAGTTTTTCTTGTATGGACAGCTGGAAATGAAATAAATCAACGTTGTCTTGATAAAATAACGGGATTCTTGGCAATGTATTTTGTTTTCTGGGAGTTACCATCTATTACAGATGATTCTAGTCAAACAGTACTCTGACCTTGAAAGATGAACTTGATGAAATCAAATTGCTGTGCAAGAATTTAAAATTAACTTCCTTCTCCCTAGAATTTTTCACAGAAAAAGAATGAAAAAGAGCTTTTTACTTTGAGAACTTAGAGAACTTTTATTTTTAATGTAAATACACTCAGTTATGATTTAATTGTGGTCTTAGTGGATTTAATTATGCCCCTTATGTGCCTTCCAGAACGTAGTCTACAAAATTCAAGGTTTGGGTGCTCAAAATTTATAAGTTAATCTGTGAAACATACAGGATGCTACTGCATTTAAAAGTTAAATTGTGAACTTAAGGTAAATGAGGTCCAAGTGACTACTAGTTCTTGCTATTAAGGTGTTGCAGGCTAGGGTTCGTTTTGCTGGTAGAATTTCATGTAGATGTTTCTGTAAATGACAAGATGATGCTTGTTTTGGATGGAGAAGGCTAGAGTTTAATTTACAGAGGCTCTGGCACCTAGCACAAATAAAAGCACAGTTGATAAATTCACAGCAACTTCTATCAGGATGACAATTTTAATACGTATGTTAAGAATTTTGTAAGCTGATGTACAAATATTACGCTTCTGTAATACAGCAACACTTTTATTAAGATTCATCTTAATGTTGCACTTTAATCTTTTGGTCTTAAATTTATCATTTTTTATTTTCATTTGTATGCAAGGTAAGTAAAATAGAAGTTAGAAGTTTTTTCTGTATTTGTGATGGTTCTTTCAGAATTTCTGTATTCAGCAATGGGTGTATATATAGGGGCAGATGAGAACTTTCTGTCAGAGGCTGTGTGTGTCTCTGTGTAAATAAAAGCACTTTACTGTAATGTGGAGTTAAAAGTGGAGAAAAAAACCCTGCCTATAATTTTGGTTTGGCTTTGGCTTTACTAGGTTGCTCATTGTATTTTAATTTAAAGTGAGTCTGCAGCAGGCCATCTTTAGTTGCTTTCTATCTATAGTAAATATTTTATCACTGCTGCACACTTCAGTTAAAAGATAGTGTGTGTCTGTTTATATTTGTGTTCAGTTAAATTTAGGTATGTCTCTACAGAATGATCTTCCTTAGGCAATCTCAGAAGTACTGTTTGATGTCTCACATGTAAGAAATATCAAAACACTTGGTCTGAAGACTGCCCTGGTATTGTTTTATTGTTTTATAATGATGAATTTAAGGATTTAGTTGACGTCTTACTAATGGTGGTGTTTGGATTTCCTCCAGACAAGTTTTAAATAATACAGGATGTCATAGATGTAGAAATGAGGTTTTGAATTGTACATAATATGAAGAACACAGTTGCAGAAAGTACATGAAGTAAAGGGCTTGCCAAACTTTGCAGCAGCTGAAATTTCCTTAGCATTTTAAGTGACTACTGTAAATGGAGTTGCACAAGTATTTGGCCTTGAGGTGACATAGCTTATACTTCTTACTCTAGCAAGATGTGGTGCTGACTTCTAAATAAGACGTTAATCTCAGCAGACAGCGTGTGTCCAGAAATTATAGAGATCCAGAAGGATTTCAGATGTGCAGATGTATGTCAGAGCAGATGTGTCCTCCATTTCTCTCATCCTGTTCTGACAGCAAGGATGAACATGACCCTGTTGCATTTTCAGACAACTGTAATTTTAGTCTTGTCTATGTTGAGTTTCAGTTGCTAAATCTTACTTGGCTCTTACTGTTAGTAAATTACGAGATAGATTTGTCTTTATCTACACTACTTTAAGTCAGATGGAGATAAGAGTTAATGTTCAGAATTCTTCACTGACTCTATCAATAAACCTCAACTTCCCAAATGGTTCTTCCTTTTCAAGGCATAGAAACAGACAACTTCATATTCTGAAGGTTTTGGACAAAAGTTGCCTGAAAGCATGCTCTGTGATTGGGCAAAAATGCTTAAGTAATATAGTGGAGTATATTGAGGAGAGGACTGAGTCTCTAGCATTTGTTCTGACTTCTTAGTTTCTCATTTAAATATGTTTGGGTGAGTTTGTTTGTTGAAACATCCCACCCCTACCCCACAGACATCTGCTTGCCTATTGTTAGCAGCTTGCTGTTTATA